GTAATAGAGTTTCTGAAGAAATATGATGACTTTGACCATAACTACGTTTTTGGAGTGTGATTCGAAGGCGTCCCTTTGCAAGGAGAAAATATTTTATGGATTTAGAAATATTTCCTAACAATTGGGAAATATGATTCGACAGAGGCGCTACTGAAGGCATTTCGACAGGAAGATTTGAATTCAAATAAAGGAGGAAATTTTCGTTCTTATCCATTTCTCAAAAGAGACACGTGAAGCACTTCTAAGAGTCGAAGACATGCAAAACGTCACTTGTCTCAATCTAGTTCGTTAGTCGTTGATGGCAGTTATTTTCAATTAGTATAAATAACAAGTATTTGTGTTAGGATTAGCGTGCGTGTTCAATTGTGTACAAATTCCTCAATATACTTAAAGTACCCGCGTGTAGAGAAACGAGTTCGTGAGAATGTATGTTGATGCAACACCATTTTTATATTTCAGTGCAATTCAATAAGTCTTTTCATTAAGAATTTATTTTTCCTTGTGCAAGTTACTTTCTACATTTTTTACCGGTCTTTCGACTTTAATCTCTTGTATTCAATTCCACTTACATTTTTTAAACAAGTTATTTTTACCATGAACTCTGTCGAAGTATTCATTGTTTTTCCAAACTTTGTTTATGATCAACTAGCACATGTCCTAAGATTTGTGTGGTCGATCCTGCAAGTAAAACAATTTTTTTTTTCTGATTTGGAAGACCAGTGGTTGTTCACCAATTTTCACGGCGAACATGTTGAGAAACAATAAAACCTGCAGAATTGCAGGAATTAAATATGTTAGATTCAAGCTCTGTGATGAGTAAATAAGGCTATTGACCAATGTCGAGTATGTACCTGATCATAAGAGAAATTTGATTTCTTTTAGTGAATTCGATAAAAAAGGATAATGTTCCAAAGAAGAGCAAAAGTATCCTAAAGTTATTAACTTTTACAAATTCTAATTTATTAAATAAATAAATTGTTTTAGTTTTAGTGTTATTAAACGTTACTTTATTTTATAAATACATATTATTCAACTATAATATAAATGATTTTTATATTTCATGAATCCTTATAAAATAGTTTCATTTTTACCATAAAAAAACTTCTTCTTATTTAACCACAAAGTTGAACTAATAATATGACCTATTAGCTATAATCTTGAGTTTAATATCAAAATATATCGAGGGACTAACATAACGATTTACCCGTTTAAAATATATTTCATTTTAAATAATAAAAATTAAGAATTGATATAAAAATTTTAAGTTGAAACATAATATATTTTAAAATTATTGTAGGTAAAATTTATTTTTAAAAAAATTAATTAAATAATTATTATATCATTTATTTCTAATGTGATTGGACATTTCATTTTCTTCAAAATCATTTCAAAAAAATATTTTTTAACATTTACAAAACTCTTGCTCCAAGATTTTATATCTCAATATATAAACAAATATATGAATTTCATTAATTTATTTCATCTTTACTGTTTTATTAACACAGATAGAGGTAGACAGTGCTCATTACCATCATAAAGTTTTGCTGTACATTATATCGGATGTAAATTTCTTCAAATTACTATTTTAATTCACATGTACATTGGATTAAGCTATAAATAATTATCAATATTATAATAAGTTCAACTTTCTCTTTTATAATTTATATTTCATATTTTAATTATATATATATTTTTTAATATGTTCTTATTATATCATCAGAATGCAACTTTTTCTTTTATAATATATAAATTTTTGTGAATTTCACACTTTCTTATATTTACTTTAAAAATTATAATATCTATCTCCAATTTGTCTCGTACACGTGGAAACACTAATTTTTTCATATAAAACAAAACAAACAAATCAAAAGAACATGATTGGGTTAAGTGAAGACATTTTTGAAGGCTATACACGCTGGTTAAGCATAGAAAGAAGAAAAGGCGCGAAAAATGAAACACGCTTTTGCAATGAAGTCAAAAGCGGGACTGAAATTACTTCGGGGGACGAGCCCAATCAATTCTAGTCACTTTTTTTGGCAGTTTGTGTTTGAGTTTTTAATTTCCTTCCTAGTTTTTGGTTGAACCAAATCTTTTCCAATGATGCAGTTGGTTTTTTCTTGAGATTTTAGTTAAAATTGTGTCTCAAACTAATAAATTAGTAAAAAAACTATAAAAAAAAAAAGAAAAAATCACACTCAACACTTATTATACCAATCAAACCGAAAAATATTCTTCCATTTTATCTGAAAAGACAAAAACAAATCTCAAGATAAAGTCTTTATAAAACTCAACACTTTCAATTTAATAAAGACACAATTTTTAAAAAGAATTGAATTTCGACTTGATCAAATAGACTAACAAAACACATGAATAAAAAAACAAAAAAGAAGAGGAAGAATTCAAATAAATAAGTTTATATAAAAACGTATCATCTAGAGCCCGACAAACTATCTCATGAACAAAACTTGTTTCATAAGAAGTTGAAAAAAGAATATGAACCAAACAAATGCTCCATTTCTTCAAATACAATAGACAAACCACACTATGTACTACTCCAATTGTCTCCCTCTCTCTTTGTCAATTCTAATTTCGTAGGTAACTTATTTAAAATTAACTACCATAAAAAAAAAGATAAATAGATATGATTCACTCGTCAACAACGTGATGGTTAGTGAAATGGAGCAAAACATTTTCAAAATTTCCATGGGAAACATTAAGGACTATAACACATTTTTAAAGGTAGCCCATGAATCTTTAAAAATTCTTAACTGTTAGAAAGTATATTATTTTATGTGAGGGTTTTTAAAAGAGTTTTGTTTACTATCATAAATTTCACAAGAGATTCTTATATCCAATAAAAGTCAATTTTAAAAACAAATCACAAACAAACTTGAAAAAGTGACTTAGCGCTCTTATATTACAGGAGATAAAACGAATTAATTAGATTAGGAGTATTCAAAATTAATTCGATTTAAATAAAATTAAAAATAAATAAAAAATATTATTAAATTTATTTGAATGTTAGTTCTATGAAAATCATTTGATTTAGATTAAATTTTAAATTGATTTTTTCAAGTCGATTAAAATCAAACCACATATATACATGTATAATTTAACAGTGCTTATTTATTTTTATGAATATAATATATTACATAATTTATTATTTGTAGATGTTTAATTATTTTTACTATTTATTAATTTGGTGTAATCTATCTAATTTTATCATTAAATTTATCACAACCATTTTTATTTTGTAATACTAAATTTTAGTGTATTAATATATTATATAAAATCTATTATTTTTATAATATCAATAAAAATACAAATTTTAATTTAAACAACTAAAACTTATTTAAATTAAATTTTATTAAATCGTATGAATTTGAATAATATAAGATTTTTTAAAAAATTATTCAAACCAAATTAAATCAAAAATAAATTTTTATCTAAAAGTTTATCTAAATCAATGTCGGACCGGAGATCGAATCAGTGAAATTTATGGTTTAAGATTTAATTGGCTCAACCGGTTAATCCTATGGTCGAACTATTTACGGTTTAATTGTTTCAACCGGTTAATTCTATGGTCGAACCGTTTATTAAATAAACTAATAATATGAAACTAAATTTCATAGATATTTTCATGATTTAATAAAGTAAATATTTCAAAAATTTATTATAAATTTAATACAATAATATCGATAGTACATATAAAAACATAACATAGTTCTACAATTTATTTTAACATTTATTTAAGAATAATTTGACTAAATTAATGAATTACAATCAAATAAGTTAAACTAATTCAAAACAAAATTAAAATAATAAAATATAATAATTAAAATAAAATTCAAATAATTAAAATATTTAAATAAAATAAAATAAAATATTAAAAATAATTAATACAATATACTTTATTAGACAAAAAATGAATTTGAGTTGTACTAGACAAACAGGTTTTAATTGACAACAACAAACAATATTAACTTCAACGACAATCAATATTGAATTGAATATCGTGACTATGTTTAAAAGAGACAACGTGACGATGATGAAGTGTGGTTAAAAAAAAACTATAACGAAGTGACAAAACTTAGAAATTTGTATGATCGTAAAAAAAAAGTGAAATTCTCTTTTGTGATTGGAGAATGTAGGTTAAATTTTAATATCGACATATTAATTTTTTTAAAGGGTCAATTTGATGCATTTTATTGAACCAGACGGTTTTACTAAACCGGCTCCAGTTATTTGGTTCAAATGATTTTGGACGGTTCAATTTGGTTTTTCAAGTTTTACTCCGATTTTGACCCACTATTAGTTTTAAAAGGTGGACCAAACCAAATCCATCTTTAAATTTTGATCTAACCGGTTGAATAAACCGATTCGATCCGATTTTTAAAACATTAACCTAAAGTGTATTAAGGCAAACATTGACCAATATACTTAATTCTACTCTCATCAACTATATGAATTTTAATTATTTTTTTATTAAAATAAAAGTATGTAGCATGTGATTGTGTATATCATCTCTCAAATAGAGTAACAAAACAGATAAACATGAAAAAACGTCATGATACTCCTATAAACTATGAAAAATAAAAATATTTTATTAAAAAAATTAACTTTAAAATAAAATGAAAAAAAGCACAATTTACAAAACAAAAATTTTATATTTAATTTTTTAACTTGCGCTTTTATTGCATAAATTAGTATTTTCCAAAAAAAAAATAGTCCAACTTACTGTTATTATGAAATTGTAAAATTAATCTTAATTATGGTTTAGTAATTTGATCAAAATTTTCCCGCATTCGTTAATGGTAGGGTAGCCTTTGAGAGGAACGAGGTTAGTCTCAAACACCATTCTCGGAAACCAAATATTTTCCAACACCTAAACTCTGTTCACACTCATCTCTCTCTCTTCGCCATTTGCCACTGTCACTGAGTTTCCACAAACAAACATCACTCTTTCTCCACTTTCATGTTCCTTACTCTCTCACACCATAATGCTTACTACTTACCGGCTACTTCATTTTCATTTCCTTCTCACTTTTTTCTTCTTTTTCTTCCACTCACACTTCACTTCAGGTAATATCTCACTACCACTTCTCTTTTTTCCTTTTCACTACAAACTTTTTCATTCTTTTCTTTTCAGGGAAACTACATGATGGAAACGCTGTAACATTTTCTCGGTATGATGCAATTGCTGCTGAACCCGAACCTGAACCTCAACCGTATGAAAACTCACCACTTCCCTTAGCAGCAGAGAGAACCAGAAGAAAAGATCCTTTAGATGGCTTCAATGAGTACACAAATGGATGGAACATCAGTGACCACCACTATTGGGCTGTAACTTCATTCAACCTTTTACTCCTTTTGTTCTTTTTTACTTTCATGTTCTGTAGAATGCAAATAGTTAGGTTTTGTTAACTCTCACCGTTAAGGTTTAACATTTGAGCTTAGTTTATCTTATTCTGCAAAATACAGAAATATACCACTAATTATGTTCCGCATAAGGCCAATTTTAGTTGATTTTGCAACTTTAGCGACAACATTTTAAGTGGTTAATGTATTTTAAATAGGTGGTTAAGGTTCATTAATCACGATTTTAGACACGATTAATCACAATTTCAAGGTGTTAAAATCTATAGGCTTAATTGACCGAGTTTTTTTATGCAGTCAGTGGCATATACAGCAGTCCCTGTATTCAGCATTGCAGCAATCTGGTTCTTAGGCTTTGGCTTCTGTTTATTACTTCTCATTGTTTGTTACTTCTGTCATAAATCCGAGCCTTATGGTTATTCTCCGACCTGCTACACATTTTCCCTTATTCTTCTCATATTGTTCACAATTACAACAATGTATGGACACATTTCTCTCTCTTCCTTTGTTTTGTTGATTTTAGATTTAGTTTAATCTGCATAAAAAATTACGCGTCTCTCTGTGTTAACAGGATTGGATGTGCGGTTCTATATTTTGGCCAAGGTAGTTTTCATCGCAGCACGACATCAACATTGCAGTATGTGGTATATCAAGCTGATTCTACTGTGGATAAACTAAGGAATGTTTCTGATTTCCTTGCTCAAGCTAAGCAGGTTGGAATCGACCGTGTTTTTCTCCCGGTGAATGTTCAAACTGATATCGATGAGGCAGAAACAGATATCAACGCTTCTGCTGGCACAATTTCTGATAAAACAAAGGAGAATTCAGACAACATTCAAGATCTATTAGATTCTGTGTAATGATTTATAATTGACTAACTATTAGGCTTTCAGCTTCATATTTTTTTTTCTTTTCGATTTTTCTCTACAAAATGAATATCGTGAGCCTAATACAGGAGGATGGCGCTCATCATAATAGCCGCTGTTATGCTAGTTTTGACGTTTCTTGGATTTCGTAAGTTTTTATGTCCAAGTTTAGATGCATAATATCTTATTTTTATTGAGGTATTGATTTTTTCTCTGGCATGTTATTATTCAGTGTTCTCAATTTTCGGAATGCAGGTCCTTGTGTATATGTAAGTTATATAGTACTTTGATGATTCTTTGCTAGTGACTATAACTCTCTTAGCATTACATTTTCTCATCAAAAGCTTTGACAAAAAAATTGCAGCCTCGTAATCGCAGGATGGTTTCTTGTTACTGGTACCCTTATATTATGTGGCTTGTTCCTTATTCTCCACAAGTAAGTTTCCCTAAAGAATTATATCTATTTGAGAAATTATGTCGAATTGTAATGTTTAATATGTGCGTGCTACTTTTGATAGCGTGACAGCAGATACTTGTGTAGCCATGAATGAGTGGATCCAATATCCTACTGCAAATACAGCTTTAGATGATATTCTGCCCTGTGTCGACAACGCCACAGCTCAAGTAACTTTGTTAAGAAGCAAAGAAGTGACTTCTGAACTAGTAAACTTGGTGAATCAAGTTATTACCAATGTTTCTAACATCAACTTTGCGCCCAATTTCACGCCATTGTATTACAATCAATCTGGTCCCTTGATGCCACTTCTCTGCGATCCGTTCCATCCTGACATGACAGATAGACAATGTGACTCCGGTGAAGTGAATCTAAGCAATGCAACACAGGTAGATTAATTGAATCTTCATAAAACGTTGTGTTAACCATGTAAAGTTCATAATGTTAGTTAGTTTCCATATGATGCAGGTATATGGAAATTCTGTGTGCCAGGTTTCGCCATCAGAGATATGCATAACTCAAGGGCGTTTAACCCCGACGTTCTATAACCAAATATCCGCCGGAATAAACGTTGGTAACGCGTTATATATGTATGCACCTTCCCTTATTGAGCTACAAGACTGCACATTCGTTCGAGAAACATTCACTGATATATACAACGATCATTGTCCTGGTCTCCGACGTTACAGTAGATGGATTTATGTTGGATTAATATTGGTCTCTTTTGCTGTGATGTTCTCATTGATCTTCTGGGTTGTGTATGGAAGAGAGCGGAGACATCGTCTATATAGGAAGGAGTCGAAAAATTTAAGAATAACCACACGTGCACCAACAAATGGACGTGCATTGACAAATGCACCTGCACCAACAACAAATGCACTTGCACTATATTCCTGAAGGAGACAAGGATATGTATTGAGTAATGACATTGATGATTGATGTTTTTAACTAAGTTTAGATTTGTTTTTAAGTGTTGGTGCGTAATGTTGTTTGTAGCTTCTTTGTAATGACAATAGTACGAGTTTTTAATTTAATGAAAAGATGTGGTTATTTTATAAGGTAACGCAGACAAGGAATGACTTATGAGATGAGACACAAGATAAAACAGAATAAATGAAGTAGTTTCGAGATTGAAGTACTTTGGTGGGTCTCTCATGTTATAGGAATTGGATCTCGGGATTGTTTATTACATCTCATAGTTTTTAAAATGCCTTTATAGTTTTCTAATATTACAAATTGACCCCTTTAAATTTTTAAAAATTGAAATTTAGTCCATAGTTTTCAAATTTTAAATTAAGTCTCAAAGTTTAACAAATTTATAAAAATGATAAAAAATTTAACAATGAATAACTTTAATAACTTATCCTGATAAAAGAATTTAAAAATAAATAAATTTCAATTAAATCTAACTTTAATTTATTTATTTATTTACAATTATGTCATTTAAACACACTTAAAGTTCAGATTTCAAAATTTAAGTGCACCACCAAATACACAATAACCTCTCTTAAAAACATGCCAAATCAAGAGTAAAAAAAGTCTGGATTTTGAACTACGAATTAACAACTTACAAATATTGAATTCGGACTTACTTCAACACACTACATCAAACTCAATCTTAGAACCACACAAAATCAATGTTAATGCATTTGCCCGAATATTAAAATCCAGATGTTTTCATTTAGGCATTTGTGCTCAAACCTTTCACTTTTCCTTCCCTTTCATTTCTTCAAAGTTGCACACAAGTGAAAGCAGATTCACCAGTGCCTACTCCTATTCAAACATTTTTCATTTTTTCTCAAAACTTCTATTCCACTACATTCAAGCCAAAATCACCAATCTCTCACATTTGACAAGTTTATCATTTCTTTACTTTTTTATTTTTATTTTTATATGTGTGTCGCTTCCGCGAAAATAAGGTGCCGGCAAAACAGAAGAGTCGCCACCTTTCGTTATTTATCCCTCGGAACGGGAAAGGAAACGATCGGAAAAACCTGACGAAAAGGTAAGACAAGGTCATCGCAACCGTTGTCTGGGTTCGGGAGTCGGTTACGCAAGGGGAAGATATTAGCACCCCTCACGTCCGTCATACTCGACGGGATCCACGCTTGTTGTGTTTACTGGACGAGTTGGTTTATCTATCTACCTATCAAGGCTGGTTTAAACAGAAAACAAAAATGACTCGGCAAAGCGTCGCGCTTTATGCCTACGTATTCTCATCAGAGAACGAGAAATCAGAGTCAACGTAGTTCGCCTAACTACTGGTTACGGGGGAGGTGGCTCGCCAATACGTCAGTATTGTGCCTACGTACTCTCGACAGGTATGAGAGATCAGAGCTTACGTAGTTCGGGATAATACGGATTACGGGAATTCAGATTCATCTGTTTTATCGAGTAGGGTTAAACAGCAGTTCCAGCAGTTAGGGACAAAGCCTGTTTGCGTTGGCGCTGAAGTTTAACGACACTCTTTTCTTCAGAAAAGCCTTCCTTTGAATTATGGGCCCACTGGGCAAAAAGGTTTTAAGTTTGTTTTCTGTCTTTTATGAAAGGAGTGTCTTTTATTGTGTTTGCAATTTCAATCGCATTAAAGACTATGACCTGAGAGTGAATGCGTCGCATGTCACCCAAAGGGTGCCATACTAAACATCCAGACTGTTGAAAAGAAACTCTCCAACAATCCTTCCTCAGATAGCTTAAGGCTCGTAACGGACGAAATAAATCATTCATGATTACTGTATCTTAAGCTGTTTTGAGATGAGAAGAGAGAACGGGCGCAACTAAGGGAGACTATCAAGTCCTACTGTTGTCATGCCAAGGATTCATCCTATGGTTGAAGTTTGAAACAGGGAACTCTTGGAAGTTATCATGCATAGGTTTCAACCTAAAATTCTATCATCACTTCCTTATCAAAGGAAGTGAGAGTCCTAAGGGATCATATCAATGATAAACAGAAACAGATAAAGCATCAGCTTAACAGTAAACAATAAACGACTGTAAAATGCATGCAATGCAAGTGAGAGAGGAAATGTGTGTGGGGCAGCAGCCTCCACAACCTCATCTCAACCTCAAGCCAGAATAAATAACAGTAATCATACTGAAGAGATAAAATAAAGTGCAGAATATAAGAAACTGTAATACAGTAAGGTAATAACATCATGCTATCAAGCAGAATATAAGAAACTGTAATCATACAGAAAAGATAACATGCTATCAAGCAAACACAAACCACATGGGCAAGGGAGCTGGGCTCTACCGAATACCCGCAAGCAAAGCCATACAGTAACAATACAAGCAGAGGGAGCAACTCAACCTCTAGTGCAATCATGCTCCTAGATTAAAGTCAGTCTAGTCATGGACTTATTCTAATGCATCAAGCAAGTCAAACAAGGCACAACAATACAGGAAAGAAAACAGACAAGAAAGCAGATCAACCCCTCTCTTCCCATTTTAAGCTTCAACTCTTCTAACAACAACCCAGTCTTCAGACTTCAATCACCCTTCAAGGCTAAGTATCCTTCATGACAAGTATCAACTTGCTTCTCCAGGTTTCAACCCACCAACATAAGTTTCAACTTAATCTTCTTCTTCCAGCTTCAACTTTCCAGTCAACTCCACCCTCAGGCTTCACTCTTAGCTACAAGTATCAACTTGATTCCTTCAGGTTCTCAAATTCATCAGTGTAAGTGTCAACTTATCTTTTAGTCCTCAAGCCTCAGCTCTACTCTCAATTGAATCCTCTTCATAAGTATCAACTTAGTCTTCAAGCTTCAGCTCTCTTACTTTACCAGTCTCAACTTGGTCTTCTCTTCCTACAAGCTTCAGCTTCTCAGGGTAGTCTTCAATCCCATGGAAGTGTCACCTTCACTATTCACTTTTCTTTCTTAAGCCTCAGCTCTTTACTCACTCTTCATTGGATCTTCATTGGGTCTTCAAGTATCAACTTGCTTCTCCAGGTTTCAACCCATCAACATAAGTCTCAACTTATCCTCCTTCTTCAAGCTTCAGCTGCAGTGGCAATGCTCAAGGAATCATCATCTTCCCCACTCTTCAGTGAAGTATTCATCTTCCAAGATACTCAAACCAGAAGAAATCACTTAACTGGATAAGCTAGGATATTAAACTGCTTATTGACCACCAAAGGAAGCCTATAAGGGTTTAACATCAGAAGAATGGTTCCCTCAAAAGTTATACTTCCTAGGTACCATCACTTATCCCTCCAAAGGAGGGAGGTGAATACCATGGAAGGACTTTTAATCATTGGGAGGAATAGAAGCACAAGATGCTTTCCATGTTTGTGAAAGAAATCATTCTAACTACAAAGCTCTCCCTATGTCCTATCTCCTAATCTTCATCAGACACCTTCAGGCACCAACAAATCCAAAGCTCCAAGCAACCTCAAGCCACCTCAAGCATATTCCTCTTGTCTTCAACTTGTCTTCAACTTCAATCAAAGGCAAACCAAGCACAAACCCTAATCTAAGGGAACTAAATGAGTTAAACTAGTTGAATTAGTAAATTAGGATCACCTAAAACCTAGCACTAAAGTTAGTCCTAACTAAAATACTAAACTCAATTGTAAAATCCTACAAAAATTACTAGGGGAACCTAGGTCAATCATGACTCTATCACATTAGTTTCAAAGGTCAAATCATCAAATTGGACCTAGAACTAAAATCTACATTCTAAGGTCTCAACCTAAAACCCTAAAAAGGAAGCATCTAAACATCAACCTAGAAGGCATACCTATTTTCATCACAAAAATGTGAAAAATTACTATGGGATCATACATGTCTAACCTAATCACACACAAACAATTAGGCCAAGAACCATCACTATGAGATCAAACAAAATTCTACAAAAATATGCATCAAACATAAACATTTTAATATCAATTAAAATATAAAATTCCAATTAAATCAGAAATTAAATGAAATGAAAATATTTTTTTCTAAAAAATAATAGACTCAATCATGAGTAATATGCAAAAAGAAAGGGCTGAATTGGATTAATATTCAATTAGTTAGGAATTTTCCAAGAATCATGAATTAAATGGAAATTAAAATGAAAATCAAATGAAAATAATGAAGCGCGCGGTGCAAAAAGCAATCATTTTCAGTTCAAAACATGGGTTGGGCTTGCTGGGGGGGGGGGGGGGGGGGGGGGGCGGATAACAATCAGATTATTAAGCCCAAGGCTTGAATAAATGAAACGGTGCGTTTCATGCTTCAGACTCCTTCACAATTCAACTTCAAAACGTGGCCGTTGGATGAGCCTCAAAGTCCAAGTCAAAACAAGATCCAATGGTATCAGGGTCATCTTCAACCTTTCAAACATCCGAGCTTCACGCCCAGCTCCGGCCACCACCGGTGGAGCTCCGGTCGTCTTCCCCAACCCTAGTTCACTCTAGGAGCCTCCAATGCAAATGGTCAAAACGTGAAACACACTCCAAATCTTGCCACGAACTCAATCATGCCATTAGTTTCTTCTGAAACCCCAAGAATCATCATCTCCCAATCTCAACCGAAAATGGTGATCCTCCTGTTTTGTCTCTAATTCAACAATTAACCATCTGAAAACCATCCTAGGCCATTCTACAACCAATCTAACACCCTAATTCAACCTAATTCTACCTAAATCAAGCTAGGGGAAGAAGGTTACAAACCTGGAAATTCTTGAATAACAGATGCACGAAATCTTCACTTCAAGCTCTCAAATCTTCTGGACACGATCACTGAACCTCCTCCTTGCTTCTGTATGCAAAAGATTCAATGGAGAGTGCTTCAATCTTGAAACACGATGAAGAGTTGCAGGTGCTGAAAATCACTTGCTCCCACACGATCTAGCCACCAATTCTTCTTGGAAATGATCTGGAATCAATCCTTGATACTCATGGGAGA